TACATATTCCACACACATTTCTAGTCATAGGAATAAACAATATATTAATTTGACATGAGTCTAATTTATTTAAGGATCTTGGGTCTGGTTCCTACAACTGAACAGAATTTCAGAAACTGATCTTCTGCCTAATAATGTTATCCTGCATACTCAAAATGCATTAACTTATCCAAGACTCAGAAATACAGAGAATAAATATATATAAGATAAGTTCCTGCCCTCTTGGAGTTCACAGCATAGGAGGGGAACCACCTGTAAACCATAATACCAGAGAGTGACAGGTATATCTTCATATAAGGAGATATACTGACAATTCATAAAATATGAGATGTACAGGCAAGAAATGAAAAACCTATAAAACTTATGCAAAATAATATTTAAATAGTCAAAAAGATGGACGACTGAATTTTACTAGTATAATACAGCTATATCAGTATACCAATATGGGCGTTGGGTCTGCTAGAACCAATAAATTTCTTTACATTGTGTTGGAGAAAATATAGCAAAAGCAGAGAGGGCCTAGAGATACATTTAATTAATAGTATCGTATTTGCCAAAAACTAACTAGCAATATACAAAGTACTTATTTAAAATTAATGTAACTTGACTAAAGACTGGCTAGAGAATATTTGCTACTTTAGTGTAATTATATGATGGAATTAATATTTCTGTGGAAAACCTAAGAACTCAAGATTCTGAAAGTTCAATAATTACATATGCATTTTAATTTAATTTTCAACACCCAATAGCAAGAATAAAATATAATTCAAGTTAATATGAAAAGCTTACATGTCAACATAAATTAAAATGCAAAAAATTATTTTAATATAAATAAATGTGGTTTTATTAATATTAAGGACTATGATTCTAAAATGCTTCATATTTTAAAAATAAATTTAGTTCAAATGCAGAACATACCTTTTGTTTGTAAAATTTTAAATACATTTTAATTGGAAATTATTCTGATTATCAAGCTTCAAATAAACTCAAAGGAATAAAAGTTACTGTCACATTCAATTATAGAAGAATAACTTAGAAATTTCTTTTTACCAAAATATATGATCAATATGCCAAAAAAGAGGAACTTAGCCCACAAAATCCCCTGAAAGTATCTTGTTATATTTTCAATACAATATGCAATGTGCTACTTAAATGTGAAAAAAAATGATCATTTTCTACAATTAAGGATACACTGATATATCACACTGTAATTCATGGGGGAAAATATCTACAAATTAAATGCTATAGAATTATAGATAGCTATTCAAAAAAATTCCTATTGTGCATTCTTTCATTAAGTAAATATTAATTCTCTATTTTATCTTTTCTAAAAAATGCTCATATTAAAATTTTTGATAAAAATAAACTTTCATGTTATAAACAAAAAACACATTATATTTACATAGCATTTACCTCAAGGAAGGAAAAACCTTATAAAAACATGTTAAGGAAGCAATGAATTAAATAGTATACCTGGTTTATAACTAAAACAGCCAATCAATTTTTTTCTATAAATGCGCTTATACTGTCCCATTAAATAATTCCTCTCTAAACCAGTTTGTTGATGATCAGTTTTTCTTTCATTAGTAAGGCTACAATGCAAAATCCTTGACAATATGCTCTCAAGTAATGTCATTTACAAACTAATGTACTCATCTTTCAGATGCTATCCACCCACCCCATATATGAATGTTTTAAGTCAGTGATAATATCATATACAAAATATATCCATCTACAATGGAAATTATTCATTTTTTTTCTATTTACATAGAAATTTTTTGCCGAAACCGGTTTGGCTCAGTGGACAGAGCGTCGGCTTGCGGACTGAAAGGTCCCAGGTTCGATTCCAGTCTAGGGCATGTACCTGGGTTGTGGGCACATCCCCAGGAGGAGATGTGCAGGAGGCAGCTGAAAGATGTTTCGATGTTTCTAACTCTCTATCTCTCTCCCTTCCTCTCTGTAAAAAATCAATAAAATATATTTTTAAAAAAATAGTTTAAAAGTCAGTCTCCCAAGTTTTAGACATCTCTACCTCTAAGTCAGTCAGGCCACAGCCAGAGCTTTTAAACCTTGACTTCATTTGCCAATCACTGGTTTAAAAAGCATGAAAATTTTAACAAACACCCACAATGTGAGTAATGAAAACACATTTCTACCTTGGGCAAATAGAAGCAAAAAATTATAGCCACAGCTGTGTTTGAAGAAGTCCTATATTTTGCTGCATGCCTAAACTTTAGTCTGCAAAACTTTTAATTCTTTGGCAAGACATGTGAGAAATAGCACCTAAAACCAAGTATTAGTAGTCTCATATTATATATAAAGAATGTACAGGAAAAAATAGAAAGAAAATATTTTGACAGAGAAAAGGGTACTGTTTAAGGCAGAAACTCTCTTGTTTTTAATTTTCACTAGTTTTTCTCTTTTCTGTCATAAAGGCACTATGATAGATATTATTCTATTTCCACCTATCATTTTTATTTAATGTTTTAAATTAAGATTT